ATCAAAATTGAAAAATATGAAAGAAGAAGCTCAGAAAAAAAGTGAGTTAACTAAAAAACAAAAATATGAATTGAAGAAAAAAGTACAAAGAGAAAGTTACGATATAAAAAAAGTAGAAACCAAGGAGTTGATATCAAAGGAAGGACCGTCCCAAGATAATAGTAACAGTAGGGAGGTTCTACCATCGGTTTTGCCAAAGAAAAATGCTTTTAAAATAAAAGTAGGGCCATGTACTGCTAAAGAGAGCCAATCTACTAGCGCCACCACACGTGTTGATAAGAATTGCGCCAAAAAAGTACAAGAAAAAAAAAAAGGACAAGGTAAATAATGAAGAGCAACGGAAAAAAGCACGAGAAAAAAAGAGGAGGCAGAGGGAAAAAAGGAGACAAAACATAGAAGCGTATAAAAAATACACAGATAGAGAGAAAGAAAGAAATAGAAAAAGGAAAGAAGAAGGAAAGTTAACACCTATAATAAAAAAGAATACACGAGAAAAGAAACGACAAAGAAAAAAATGGGCAGAAAATTCCAGGGCATATAGAATAAAGAAAAAACAACACACTAAGTTAGAAAAATTTATGGACGAACAAACTCCACCCTCAAGCCCATCAACATCACCTCTGCCAGAAGTAGCTAATAATAAGAGAAAAAGGACCTCGACTAAGACTTATAGGGAACAGAAAAAAACGATTTTAGACTTACAAAAATCTTTGAAAACTTCAAGGCAATGCGCTGAGCGTTACAAAAACGGTATAATAGGTTATTGAAGAAAAAATGCAAACAATCAGGTTCCCTTACACCTGATACTAAGGTAAAAACAATTCTAAGACAACCAACTAATGAAATAAAAAAGAAATTACTCTTTGGTGAATGTTTGGTAAAAGAAATCAAGACAAAGGCGAAACATTCCAATGAAGTGGAAAAAATATATTGGGAGCTTGTATCTCATCTCCTATTTATAAAAAATATCATGTTCAATCTGAAGCAGCGTCTATTGTGTCTCGTCACATTTTTAAGATACACGTTAAATCTCAAATTAAACATGATAAAAAAAGGCAGATTCGAACCCAACAAATGATTAGTTTGAGGCGACAAATTGAGAACTTTTTTCTTGAAGATGAAATTACTATCCCAGCCCAATTTAGTTTTCTTGAAAATTTTAAGTGACTAACCCTCAGTCCATAAATGTTTTTTTACTCAAATACCATGAAAGATACATGTTTTTTGCAAGAGAGAAAAAAATGCTACAAATAAATTTAGGGAACATTGGCGGCCCTGAAAAAAAATACGATGTCATTTATGGTAGGATTAGGGTGGCTTTTACCCTTCCATAATTTCAGTTGGTATAATTTTTACTTTGAACAATGGCTCTTCAATTAAAATAGCTACACACCAAATTTTATAAAAATCGAACGCAGCGTTTTTGTGTTATTAAAAAAAATTGAAAATTTTCTTCCAACTTTGAAGCTTCCTCACAGGCAAACGATGGACTTTATGATATAGGTAATTTTGGCTCAATCGACTTATTTTGATCTCACCAACACACAGTAGATCTATGTACACGGAATTGAGTAATTCCCAGGCCTTCATTTTCGCCATCAAATTACTAGAATATGTTTTTTTATTCTCTATCACGCTGCCATATTTTTGAACTAAAGAGCACAAGTACACCTTCTCTTCGCTATGGTAAGGTGCCCGATTTTCTTTTTCCAACATTCTAAATTTTAAAATTACTACAAATAAAATAAATTTATGGAACACGTGATCTGTGTACATGTACAACGTGCAATACACAACCTCACTTTTCTGTGCTTTTTATGTCAAAAGCACGTCAAAAGAAGTAAAATGCGACGTTGTCAGATGTTAGTCTTCCTCAAGTATTCCTCCCTTGAGGAAGTGTTTATAAAACAGAAAAATTGAGGCCGCCTCAAGAAACTCTCACATAAGGAGGGCCTCAAGGCTCGACTATAAATTCCACCCTTATCTCCTAAGGGTTTGGACGATATGTGTTCCTCTCTTAGGTGTAGAATTCGTTTTCGTCTTCTTCATGGTACTCTCTTTAATGTTCGATCAACTGCAACTGACCCGATGTTCTTTCGAATACAAAGCATAAAAATCCGATATACTTTCGAATTTATAGCTTACAATATCACAAAGTTCGTTATTTTGGTTAATCTTTGTTGCGAAAAATTGTCTGTGCGATATGTTCAATTTCCAAAATATCCTACTGACTCGTAAATTAAGTGAGAGCACTTCAAAAATGACTTATTATAAAAACGAAAATTTTTATGAAATCTTTATTAAACAAAGCTAATTTTGGTGAATCGTAATTTAGAAATTCCTATTGTGGTTGAAATTTCTTCAAACTAAATATTGTTTTCAATGTATATACATACTAATCAAATTGCTCACTTGGAGTTTTAAGTTTTCCATAAATAGCAAGGTTATTATCGAACGCTTTGAAATAAGTGAGTAAATGATGAATGTCTAATATAGTAATGTCTTGAGAAAATTAAGTACAAGTGTCACATTTATGTATGTTGAGAGCCTTTTTAAATAAATAACCACATACGCAATTAAAAGAATTTTGAATTAATAACGGTTCTTGTCTATAATCTGTGTCAACAGAAATGACTCTGGTATCAGGTTGACCTGGTGGATACATATTTTTTGTTTTTAAATATTTTGGTCTGAAATTAAATAACAGTTGATCCATATTAGTGGTGTAATTAAATTGAATAGGTGTAGGATTAACTGTGTTGCCACCTTGTTGTCAGATCGTACCAAAAAAGTTTTCAAGACAATCCTGATTTAGTCTTCTAGTTTTTATGTATTTAAAATCAGCCAGTAACAACTTATTGCAGAGCTTTTGTATTGCATTTATGGTAATAATCCAGCATTTGTGGGATTTCGATTTTATTTTAGTTTCTATTTCATCCAAAAATGATAAATGTTCATCGGAAGCTATATCAAATGTGTCAATAAATATTATTGTGTGTCCACACCTGCCTGTGGAAGAATTCCTAAACGAACTTAATTATTCATTGCACTGCTGACAGTGTTACTCAAAACTTGTGTGGCTAATTTTACCTCATTTTGTCAAAATTATTTGGATATATGTGACTGTCAGTTAATTTGGGTGCACAATATTTTTATCATAATTATAAAAACCTTCTATGAAGCTCCAAGACGTCTTCATGTTATTAAAAGAAAATTAATTTGTTTCTAGTCGTCTTAATTAGATGACAAGGATCAAATATAAAAAAAGGTTGTTTTCACCGAGTTGAAAATGTGGATAGGATTTAGTAACGCTTAAGAGTCTGCTTAATTTTATAAAATTAGATCCCATATCTTGTCGCTAGACATATAATCCACATTCAAATAATTTTTAAATACAATTTTTCACAACTGGGAGTAATTTAGTCCCCTTTAATTCGGAATCCACAAAAAAGTAAACCAATGGCACTTTCCAATTAAAATACAATCCTCTCGCAAGCTAAAAATCCCCTATGTCATACAGACCAATAATGTCATCCTTGGAAATATCAAAAACAAACGAGATTTTATAGATATTTCATCTATACAGATACTACAATTTTTATCCTGACCGGACATTGCTCCTACTTTTATTTTTAAGATCTCGAACACTTCATCATTGTTTAAACCAGCTTTTGATACTAAATATTTTGTCATTCTTTGTAAGTTTCGTTTAGATGACATATACAGTAACTTAGGAGATGTGAGTTGGTATTCGTCTAACATGAATTCTCCGTCTCTAATACTTCTGATGTTATTTTCTACGAGTTGTGTCGTTTCTTCTTCTGCCATTTCTCGATTCATAATGTTTGTTTTTTGTAGGTTTTCTCCTATTTTTCGTAATTTGTCTTCGTCCGTGATGTATAAAATGTTTTCGTCGATTATTTGTGGAATGTCGTTGTTGTTTTTAGCTAATTTTCTGCTTTTCATAAGTTTCCAAATATTTTTGTTCTCCCTTTCAGATTTCCTAATCTTATTATGCCAGTATTCTTCCTCGATAGAATTCAGACAGGCTTGAATTTCCTGGTTTTTCTCGTATATTTGCCCGAGGATTTCTATGTCTCTGTTTCTCTGGTACCTTCTCCTAAGTTTGTTTCTCTCTTTTATCATAATTTTCGTGTATTCCGGGATAATTATTCCTCTATTGTTTGTCTTAATTTCGGGTATGTTATTTTGTGTTGCTTCTTGTATTATTGTGGTAATTTCTTCGACTTTTTGATCGATTTCGGGTGTATTTTCGAAATTTCGTTTTATTTTTAGGTTTTTGTTGATTTCATCCTTGAATTTTTCCCAGTCAGCTTTTTTATAATCAATTTTTTTTTCTTTGGTATTGGAATTTTTCTAGTTGTCTTGGCTGAAACCGGGAAGTGGTCTGAGCTTAATTCGGTTAACGTTTCTACTTCTTTCAATAATATGTTTTTAGTAATGAAAATGTCTAAAGTTGAGTCATATCCTCTATTGTTAAGTCTGGTAGGTTTGTCCGGGGCGTATATTTGATAATTCCCTTCATCGCATAGTTCTAGTAGCTGTTTTCCCGCTAGATTTTCGGTTGGGCACCACATGCCTCATGCTTGCAGTTTAGATCTCCCGCGATTATTACTTGTTCGTTCGAGTCTAGTATTTCTTCTAGTTCTTCTGTTTCCAGATTTCTGTTTGTCCTGTATATTGAAAAGATTGATGTTTTGTGGATCTTTACTCCCACACATTCAATGTTTTCTAAGTTATTTCGATTTGTAGTTCAATGTCATTTTTCTAGTATAGAGCAACGCCTGTACCTTCCGGTTTTCTCTCTTGAATGCTTTTGTATCCAAAAATTGGTGTCGGTATTGTTTTGTCGTTTATAAGTGTTTCTGATATGCAGACTATGTCGGGATTTTCTCTATTAATGAGTTCTTTTAGCTCTCTGGTCCTTTTACGCAAACTGTATACGTTTGCTTGCATGATTTTTAGGTTTTCTGAGGGGTCTATTTTTGGTAGAGCTCCTCATACTTCATAATAATCTGGGCGTGGTCCGCGAAGGAGGTAGCCTGCATCAGTTCTTTTTTCATTTCTTTTAGTAGATGTATTATTTTTCCCAAATTGCATATTTTATTAATTTCTCTTAATTCTTGAGCTATTTGTGCCATTTCATTCATTTCTTGGCTTTTTCCTTCATATACTGGTCTATTTTGATGATTTTCTTGTCTTGGTCCCGCCGTTACCTGGCTGTACGGTTTTTCGGAGGATATTATTTTGTTGACTGCCTTGTGGGGTTTCTTTGTATTTTTATTTTTCATTTCGTCTGATTTTTCTAGGTGCTCAAGGTACACCGGGCATTGTGAAAAGTTTGCTGTGTGGTTTCCACAACAATTTATACACTTGACGTCATTTTTGATGTTTCTGGGTAGTCGACAGTTTGGTGTTAAGTGTTTGCCTGCGCATTTTACGCAGTTTGGTTGTTTGTGACAGTTGGCTTGACTGTGCCCAAACTGTTGGCACCTATAGCATTGTGTTATTTTATTCTTTTTTGCGTAAGTTTCCCACTTTACTCGTGTGTTTTGTACATGCCTTATTTTGTAAACATCCCTTAAGTTGGTTTCCTTTTTTACGCAAAGCTGGTATGAATGGCTTTCGACATTTTCAGATCTCGACCTTAGATTTATTATACTGACTACTTCGACGCCTTCGAACTCGAGTTCTTCTTTAAGATCCTCCAAGTCTAAGCCTGGTGCGGCTTTTAAAACTATTTTCTTAATTTTGTCTTCCCTTCGGGTGAATGTATGAAAATCGACTTTTTCTTTTTCGAGTTTATTTATGACCATTTGCCTGTGCTCTTCACTGTTCGTATAAACTTTTGTCTGTTTATTCGTAAATTGGCATGAGAATTCTGTAGAATTTAGAATATTTCTTAAATTAGAAATAAATTCTTTATAGTTTCCAACTTCTTGTGTTACGACGATTGGAGGTATCGTTTTTTTTTTTGTTTCTACTTGAGTTTTTGTTTTAGCTGCATCTTTATTTACATTTTCGTTTTCCTCTAATTTTTCCAGAATTCCGAAACGATTGAAAGTCGGTACTGGAAAAATTGTGCCTTACATCTCCTCGTTATGTTTCGACCTTTTGTTGAGAGGTGGGAAACCATTTGATGTTGTTGCCTCCATATCTATTACGGGTTTGTGCGTGAAAGTTCGCTTTCCTGATTTACTCTCGTATGAGAATTTTTTCTCGGTTACGGTTCCCATCCGAGCCCGGGAGTCCTTACTCAATTCAGAGCCAATCCGTCAGCTAAAATGGACACTTTCACCTTTCTTGAAATATTTCAACACTTTTAACACTAATTTTTGCTTGTGATTTTATGCTTATGATAATTCGAATATATTAAATATTGATTTACATCCACGTTTTTATACAAAATCATATTTAGCTTTTTCATCACTTAATAGAGTCTTATATTTAGAAATATTACACTGTAAAGCCGATTATGATATTAAATTCTGCTTCTTTTAGACAGGCTCCGCACATCAAAAAACGTGAAACATGAAACATGAAACGTGAAATACGAAACATGAAACAATAAATTGCGAAACACGAAACCATTTCATTTGTACACACTCATCAAAGAAACAAAAATTAATTTGTTTCAACAATGAAAAGTGACGATGACGAGGTCGTTGCTGTAGTGGCAACTCTTTTATTACTGTCGAAAAAAAAAACAAAAAAAAAACGACGTTACTGGGTGTATCCATATAATTGGACGGCGTTATGCAGAAAACTACAAACCCACAATATACCAGATATTAGGTTGAGTGCGGATTTGGGTAACGTACTGCATTCTGTAAGAACCTATCAAGCCTCAGTTAATTATACATCCTATAAAACTATAAAGTGCTAGCCCATATCCTATAGCTTTCTTAAACAAACAAAAACTTTAGAGCTGATTATCTCAGTTTGTCACTATTAAGGGTTGGTAGCTTTCTGCTTAACGCCGTCCAATTATAATATCAAATATAGTACATATTTGGTTGCAAAGGAATTAAACAATCATCCTGCCAAATTACAATCATTCTATAAAATGAGTATACAAACATTTACAACATTATATCTTATTGTGGGTCCTAGTTTAAAGAAAAAAGATACTAACTTTAGAATGTGCCTCAGTGTTGAAGAAAAAATACTGATAAACTAAGGTAAGTTATAATTAATTTTTATTCATGAACACTATTTATAGCATCAGATACAAGAGAAGCATGTGATGAAAGACTGTTTGATATATATATTTCTTGCTTGATTGTTGGCTTCATTAAATTATGATGCGCAGATACTGAAGAATAGTTGGATATAGCTGGAGAATATATTGGAATAGGTATACATTGTTCATTTATAATTTCATCATAAAGACCCAAAATTCTTTGTTTGTACCGCCTTTTTTGAGCATAATTCAACTTTTTCATATCAGGCAACAAACTCTTTAAGAAAAAGGGATTGCTCTTCCTGATCAGTTGATTCATTTATTTTTCTTCTGTATTTGGCACTCAGATCACTTAAACATTGCCCTGCAGCATTTTCCCAACTTTCAGTACTTGGCTGTTTTGTATTTTTTTTTTGTTGATGATACTTGCAAAATTCTTCTGTAGCGTCATCCGTAGATTTAGAAGGAAGTTGTATATCTATTTCATTTGCTGCTGAACTTTGAGCTCTTTCTTGAATCGTCGGTGTTATTTTTATACCTTCTTCTTCGTCTTGGGCGTTTTGTGTATCGTTTGAATTGTGCATACCGTCGTCGTCGTTTGTGGCTAGTTCACTATCATTAACATCTGAATAACTTTCAGTTTCGAATCTTTCGTCATCGGATTCAGCATTTTCCGTTTGACATCGAAATCAGGTAAATGGAATCAAAACTTTCATTAAAATTCTCAAAAAAGTCACCCTCAGCATTCTCCATCTTTTTTACATTCAGCAGCTGAAACAATTACTATGAGAATAATAAAAATTATACTTTTATTGTACAGGTTATTTTCTTATATTTAGTGCATCTTCTAAAGGTTTTTTTTTAGATAAGAAACTTAAATATAGTTTTGGTGTATTTAGGATTTTTCCTATATCAAAAAATAAAGCTTTAGGGGCGGGAGTGAATGTAAGGAGACACACACACACACACACACACACACACACACACACACACACACACTATCTATAATTCATTAAATATACACAAAATTAATTGGATCAACAAAGTTATCTAGCTATACACAAACGGTTTTTTTAGGTATCTTGCCACTGGTGCTGCTTTTCGAGTTCTGTCATTTCACTTCATGAGAGGAGAGACGACGCACATAGGAGTATTTCGTTAAGAAAACCGGACAAAAATACCTAATGCATTTTTATGCTATGAATTTGATTAAAACACAATGTATGATCATAATTAAGTATGTATTTAAAATTTTAATAGAGCACAGATGTTTCAGATTTTTTTTACGTACTAGGACTCTTCGTCTTTATCTTCTTCATCGTCTGTATTTTCGTCGCAATCTTTTTCATAAGGTACAAGCAGGGTGCTTGCAATCATCAGATTAATGGCATAGTTTTTGTGCTACCTTAGTCTATTATTGCTCAAATATGGGTCCGAACTTAGTAACAGTCTATGCAATACGTCTCTATTACAATCCACTCGAGAGAATGTTCGTGCAAAATTCAGTCTATATTGTCGGATGTGCTTGTTGCAGGCCTCAGCTGCCTCCTTCGATAACTGGCCAATAGGTAGGATTGCATGTGATATGACTTCCGCTCATTGACGTCGATGTTGTTGCCACTCGAAATCACTTCTAAGATGTCTTTAAATCGTTGTATTAAATTCACACTGACTCTGCTTTGGGAACATCAACCAGGAGTCCCATTTCTTCTTTGAAGGCTTTTTAAATTTTTTCTTTTGTTTCCTTGACAACTTTTTTTTCTTCTGCAGAACGCGCTTGCCACTTTTTCAGTGGTATTTTGTAGGATAAATGTAGTAACGATTCGAAAAAACGTATTCTAGCATGCAGAATCGAGAGTCCAAACTTCAGCGTTTCTACATTGACATCTTTTTTAATTAATTTATTAAAATCTTTTGATGTCTGTCCGCAAATATAGCATCTCATGGTGGATGCAGTATCAGTCGCAACATTGCAGATTTTACCATCTATCATTGTAAATGTTGGGTCCTTCTTGTTGATTTTGGCAATCAACTCCAACACTCTCGTCAGGGGAGGACGTTTTAGTCAAATCAAAATTCACCTTTAGTTTTAACTGTATTTATTTTCACTATAAAGTATCTTTCGGTCGTATATCACAATTATTAACAACAATTTTAACACTTAAAGTTAGATGAGGCAGTAAATTGTGGTAACCGAACTAAATTAGAAGAGATGAGTGGCATGGACATGGACGTCCACTCACCCAGAACGATTACATTGCAATAATTATTAATTTGACCCTTTTATTCTAACTTCCGGCTCTCACCAACAAAAGGAAGTTCCCCTCTTACCTGATTACGCGCAATATTTAAATAATTATACCTAATTGGCTATTGCACCTGATCCATT